GAAGACGGGACCCCTCCCCGCCGCCCGCCCGGGCTTGGGCTGCGCGCCCCTCCGCCCCGACCCCAGGGCAGGCTGGGCCGGGAATGTCCCGGCCGCGGTGGGAAAGAGGTGGGTGGGACCCCTGCTCTTCCCCGACGGACGGGCTGGCCAGAGCCTGCCCGGCGCAGGCCGTGGCCCCTGGTCCCCGAGGGCGCCGGGAGCGGGGCCCCGACACGGCGCCCTGGACCTCCCGGTGCCCCGGGAACACGCCGTGCCAGCCAAATAGGACACCGTGCTGACGGGCGGCAGAGACCGCGGAGGGCAGAGACGGAGGCTTCTGGGGTGCCACCGCTCCCCAGCGCGGGCGGGGTTCTGACCTCATACAGTGTCGGCTCCCGGGGTCTCCTTGTCACCGTGAGTCACCTCCTCCCGTGTCCTTTGGGGACGTGTCCTGGCACGTTCCCGAGGGCCGGGGACACAGCCCGCGCTGACCTCAGCGCCCAGCCGGGTGGCGGACACAGCGACGTGGGGGAGCCGGACCTCGGGGGTGGGGGGAACCTGGGCTGGGGCGGCACCGATCGGATCTGAGAGCCGCCCTGGGACGGATCCCTGGCGAACTTCGTCCACCCCGCTTCCCTCGCCCCTCCAGGGACGCGGGCTTCGTCCTCACACCGCCGGCAAGCTGCGTCTGGGGGGGCGGGGGGCGCACCCGCCCCCAGAAGCGAACCCCCGGGACAGCCTCACCCGAGCCTTCCCTGACCCCCGAGTTTCAAGACGAAGGGAGTGAGGCAAAGGGATCGCTATACTTGTGGACCCGCCCTCCGCCCAGGGTCCCCGACGCGTCCCGGTCGCCGTCACACGCGCACTCACAGACCCCCGTGTGCGCACACCGCGCGCGCACAGACCCGCGCGCGCCATTCACCTGCCGCAGAAACACCTGTGAACACAGCGCGCGCGCACCTGCGGACGCACACACCTGCGGACGCACACACCTGCGGACACATACACCCGTGGACACACACATCCCGTGGACACACGTCCCCACCGACACGCACAAACACGCACACGGACTCCTTCGGCTCCCCGGGTCCACCGCCGCCCGCCGCGGCTCCTCACCTCTGAGTTCTCGGTGCCTCGGTCGCTCCGCGCCCGAGCCTGACCCCGCAACACCTCGGCTGGCGCGGCGCAGCAGCGCCGTCTTATAGCCTCGGCCCCGCCCGCTCCCGCCCCCGTGGGCGGAGCCCTCCGCTCGGCCCACCGCGCCGCCTGGGACCGCCCTCCCCGGGGCCCGAGCCGCCGAGCGCCCGAGCCTTGGCTGGGTTCCCGCGAGCCAGCCCGGCCGGGAAGCTCGCGTGCTGCGGGAGGGCGCTTCCCTCCTCCCCCAAGCCCTTGCCTGGGTTTGTGCGCTAGACACGTCTTCCCCGTGAACTGGGCCACAAATCTGGCTTTTGAAAGTTGGGAAGTGAGTTAGCACTCCCCGGAGGGCACGGCATTGCTGGAAGGCGCCTCCTTCCTGGCCCACCACTGACCAACTCTGGGCAATGATTTACCTAATACAGCTGAAAAGATCGGGAGGGCAGACATTAATAAAGGAAATCCGCCGGGCGCGGTGGCTCACGCCTGTAAGCCCAGCAATCGCGACCGGGGCGAGAAGACTGCCCGAGCCCGAGGGTTCGGGAACAGCCTGGGCAACTTGGCAAGACCCCCGTCTCTACAATAAAGCAAAAAATTAGCCGACTGGGTTGGCTCGCGCCTTTAGTTCCAGCTACTTGGAAGATTGAGGCAGAAGGATCACCTAGCCCAGCAGGTCGAGGCTGCGGTGGCTGTGAGCATGCCACTGTACTCCAGCCTGGGCGAGAGTGAGACTCTGACTCAAAAAAAAAAAAAAAAAAAGAAAAATCCGTAATAGTAAAAATGATGTCCCCCTCTTTGCCATAAAAGCCTTGCTATACCACCACTGATCCCTCACTAGTGCATCTCTTCCAGAAGCCCCTGGGGTTCCCAGACACCCCAACAAAGCATTCTGGAGGCCAGAATGGTATTCAGTCTCCGTTACGTCATAGCTGGGGAAACGGAGGCCCACCAAGCTAAAGTATACACAGTTGCTACTTGTCAAATGCCTCAGAGGAGGAAATTTGGGACACTACTCAGAAAGAACCAACCTTTCTCCAGGGGAAACGGAGGAACTGGACATTGAACCCATCTACCTGCACCCTGTGCTCACCTTTCTCTCCTCTCAGCAGAAGAAACCACTGTGAGTGCAGCAGATCTGGTGGCTCATCAGGGCAGAAGGATTTGGTGGGTGTGTTGCCTCTGGGGTATTCCCCACACAGGCCAGATTATTACACTGGTGGGGAAACTGAGGCTGAGGAGTCCAGTGACCTGGCTTGGATTGTGCAGCAGAAAGTGGCTGTGGTTGGAACACAGGCCTTTTGCCTACTGCCCAGGGCTCTCTTCTCTGCTTGTCACCCTGTGTTTCTGTGGCTCTAGAATGGCAAAAATGCCCAGGAATCCCCCATTTCCAGGAAGTTTACAGAGATGACACTGATCAAGGACAATTCTGGAAGTGTCCACTGGTGCTTCTGATAGATCCAGAAACGAGTGAGGTGTCCATCTGCCCTGTCAACTCCCACAAGCCTTGAGCTCCCTTGGACTTCACCTTTGCCTCCTTCCTTTACCTGAAACATTTACGGTTTTGTTTTTTAAAAAACTGCAGAGAATGACTTGTTAATCTGAATAGAAATCCTGCTAAAAAAAAAACAACAGAATCCAGGCTCAGAACAGCTACGATTCCTGACATCTCAGGCTGTTCAGTGTCTAGAAATCTCTGCCCGGACATGCCCAGTCTTCTTCCTCTAATGCAGCTGACCTCAGGGGAGGACAAGCTCTGCTCCGACTGTGGGGATGGAGCCTGGGGAGGGGAGGGAGGGCACGGCACCAGACCCCCTCGCCTGCCTGGCCCTGGAGTCAGGCAGGGAGTGCAGCCCAAGGACCCCGCCCCCCCCACCCCGACTCCTGTCTCCATCTCCCCCCTACACACCAGACCATCCAAAGGCTGGGTTGTCAACCATCCAGCAGAAGACAGGCACATCCTCCTACAGCCTTGAATCCCCTCTGCTTTCAGGCATTTCAAATAGACTTGACATTGTCTGTCTGTTTACTTTGGGGGAAAATTTTTTTTAAATGAAGGCTTGTAATGAATTATTTAAAGTTTTGTGGTACTGAGCTTCACAATGAAATAATTCTTTTTGTTGTTGTTTTTGGGAAATAATTTTTTTTATAACTTCTAGCTTACCACCACCACCACAACAGTATTTAACAAATATTTATTCAGCACCTACTGTCTAGTACTGTTTAGCACTTAAAAAAAAAAGTTTGCAAGTCTAGCATGGTAACGCACACTTGTAGTTTGGGAGACTGAGGAGGAAGGAATGCTTGAGGCCAGAGTTCCAGACCAGCCAGGGCAACATAAGGAGTTTGGGAGACTGAGGCAGAAGGAATGCTTGGGAGACTGAGCATTTTGGGAGACTGAGGCGGAAGAAATGCTTGAGCCCAGAGTTCCAGACCAGCCAGGGCAACATAAGGAGACCTCATCTCTATAGAAAATTTTAAAAAATAGCTTGGCATAGTGGCACATGCTTGTAGTCCCAGCTTCTGAGAAGAATTGCCTGAGCCCAGGAGGTTGAGGCTATGGTGAGCTGTGAGCATGCACTTCAGACTGGGCAATAGAGTGAGACCTCCAACTCAAAAAAAGAAAGAAAGAAAAAAGTTTGCAACCATGCACTTAAATGTGTAACCAAGCATGCTCTTTTTTTTTTTTTTTTTTTTTTT